TGCGGCAGAAGCGGGGCAGCCGGGGGCAGAGCTGGACTATCGGAAGGGGGGGCTATGAGAGGTCTGGGGTGGCATTCCCGCCCCACCCCAGACCCCTCATAGCCACCCCTTCTGATAGTCCGGCATATCTGATAATCTGGCACCCCCTGGGTCCCAAAGGTGCCGGATTATCGGAAGTTTACTGTATGTACGTTTTGCCAGTTTACCATGATAGAAGTATTAAGGGCACAAAATACTGCCTATAACAGTGAACTACTTTGGAAAGTTCTTGTACTTTGAATTAAAGAAGTTGGGGTGGTTATACTACTGAGTAGCAGGGATGCAGAGGTAACTAGATCAACAACTAAACAAATAGGATGTGAACAAAATCAGACAATAATGCACTGAGAGAACAAATAGAAGCCTTTAAAGGAGATGAGCAAAAGGGACTGTAATAACTTAATAAATTGTATATCTTATCTCATGTATGTTCATAAAATTTTGTATGTTTTTATATGTAGAGAAGAAATAAAGTTAACATTGCAAAAATTCTATTATGTTATAGCTAGAACAATATAGCCCAGTCTTCTGAGATCATAAGATGAATACAAACTTCGTGATTTAAATTTTATCTACCTTTCAGTATGAATGTGAAGGTTTAACCTGTAGGGCTGAAGCAGCTCTCCACCTGCTGGGGGCAGAGGGTTGCTCCAGCCCTATGGGGGCCTCACCATAGACAGTCTGGCCAGAGCAATCCCTGCCTTTGGCCAGACAGGGCTTGCTCCACCATCCATGGCAGGCCAGAGCACCTCACAGGCAGGGGCTGCTCTGATTGGAATGCCAGAGAAGCCCCTGCCTGCGGCAGAGGGGCTTCAGGAAGGGCTCTGGTTAGGGATGGGGGAGGGGTCATTCATGGAGATAACAATCATGGAGATAAGTTTTTTGGGGGGGGGGCTCCCCTATACAGATCTGATGAGGATACTATACTTAAAATTGGTTGTTTTGTTTATAGATTTATATATCTATATATTCTGTTTTAGAACTTGTCACCAAAGAGCTACATTTGTATTGACAATAGTTAATATGTTTTTATTTGTAGCATTTTTCATTAAAAAAAACATTGTGGAATAGAATACTTTTTCATATTGTTCTTAGGCTAACTGTGATCTTAGAAGACAAATAGATGAACAACAAAAGCTACTTGAAAAATATAAAGAGAGGTTAAATAAATGCATTTCAATGAGCAAGAAACTTCTGATTGAAAAGGTAAGATGCAACAGAATTTTTTCACTATGAGTGGTGGAAAGTACTATAGATAGTTATCTATGGAGTGCCATTGTTAAACCCTCCACCCCATTTTACTTGCTCATAATTTCCTGTTTAAGACTGAAACTTTTGGGTCTCAGTTCAGAAATAATTCATTTTAAATTTGAGAAAAATCCCTTCAGCCATATTTTAGTTATAGAAGAGTGGAAAAAAAAGGAGTTTCGAATGTAAGCATTTTTTTTGCTCACTAATAATTCAGTCACTGCTGGGAATAAAATCTATAATCTTAGCATGTGGCTTGTGACTTTTAGCCTTTTTTCAACTTTAGGCAAACTATTTTAAAATAGCTTTACAGATGGTTGAAAAATCACTTCTGAACACTTTTTTTGTGAAAAGCACAGAAGAGAGCTAGGAGAATTTCCACTGTAAATCAGTTCTCTGCTGTCTTTTGTCTTCAGCTTACTATTAGGAACAGCAAAAGGAGGTATTTACCCTTCTGCAATTTCATTCACCTAAATGAAATTTGAATTTCAAATTTAATACTAACTTCTTAAACACTAGTATTACTTCATTTATTAAAAACACCCCCCAAAACTCAAGAAAAACAAATGGAAAAATGAGTTTTAATGCAGTTAATACAAGACAAGTCAGGACATTAAGAAAAGAAACTAAATGTTTCAATAAATTGTGCAGCAAGAGATTGCGGACAAATTCCCACAATGGAGGTTCACCCTGAATGTCTGTCAGCACTAGTGTAATACTGGGAACGGGATGTGACAGGCCTGTTGCTCATCATTAGGGTCTTACTAAATACACAGCTTATTTTGTTCAATTTCATGGTCCTAAGATTTTGAAAATTTCAAATTTCAATATTTCAGCTATTTAAATCTGCAGTTGTATGGATCCTGACCCAAAAAGATAATGTGGGTGGGGGTTGCAGATTTATTGTAGAGAGGGTTGCAATACTGTTTCCCTCACTTCTGCAGTACTGTTGGCAGCAGTGCTGACTTCACACGTGGGCAGGGCAGATGGAGCGTAGCGTGGTGGCTGCTGGCTGGGAGCCCAGCTCTGAAGGCAGAGCTGTCACCAGCAGCAGTGCAGGATTAAGAATGGAATGGTATCATATTGCCACCCTTACTACTTCACTGCTGATGGTGGAGTGCTTCCTTTAGATCTGGGTTCCTCGCTAACAGCCACTGCTCTCTAGGGCTATGTCTACACTGTACAGTTATTTCGAAATAAGGTATTCTGGAATAGTTATTCCGAAATAGCTTATTTCAAAATAGCACATCTACACTGCAGGGAAGCCTCAAAGTTAGTCCGAGGCAGGCTTCCCAAACGTAGACATGCTATCTCGATTTAGAGCCCCAGGGGGAATAACTTAGAATGGCCCTGGTGAGGGGCTATTTCGAAATAGCAGAAGTGGAGAATCTACACATACCTTATTTCAAAATAGCTATTTCGGAATAGGCATTATTCTTCACAGAGTGAGGTTTGCAGAAGTTGGAATAAGCCGTCTGTTTCGAAATCATTTCAAAATAACGGAATTGCTGTGTAGACACTCACATAGTCATTTCAGAATAATGGCCATTATTCCGAAATAACTTTTCAGTGTGAACACACCCTAGCTGCCCTGCTCTGAAGGCCGTGCAGAAGTAAGGATAGCACTACAGTGACACCCCCACTCCCAAATAAACATTAACCTCCCCCCCTTCAACTCCCTTTTGGGTTAGAATTCCCAATTTGAGAAACACTGATCTCCCTGGTGAAATCTTCTTAATAGAGGGTAAAAGCACACAAGACCAAATTTCATAGTGGGAGATCAGATTTCTTGGCCCTTGATGCATTTTTCATACCATAAATTTGGTAGGGCACTATTCTTTATACTAGGGAGAATGCGGGCTGCTTTGAAATGCAGAGCATCCCATAGACAGCTCTTGTACTGGGGACATGCCAGCCTGCTGAGCAGGTTTGAATTGTAACAGTGAAAAGGTAGTTAAAGTTCCCCCTGCCCTCTCTTCCTCCTTTGAAGTCCATGTTTATATCTCAGTGACTCCACGTCATGTTTGCAAGGAAAGCCAAGGTTAAGTTTCTGGCCTATGTATCATTATGAGTGAAAGCTAAATTCTTATTGCAGAATTTTTAATTATTCTGATAATGTATATGCCAGAAAAAAACAACATGTATGGGTTCTGAGAGTTAATTGGAATATGAATAGTAGACACTTATTCTTCATCATTCTTTTATCTACTACTAAAAAAAAAAAAAAAAAGTAGAAGGATGGGCTATATTTCTGCTATCTTTTAAACATTTTAGAAAAACTGGTAATATTTTGATTTTTCTTAGAGCACACAAGAAAAGCTGGCAAGCAGAGAGAAGAGTATGCAAGACAGACTACGCCTCGGGCATTTTACAACAGTTCGACATGGTGCTTCATTTACTGAACAGTGGACAGATGGCTTTGCATTTCAAAATCTTGTGAAGTTAGTCAATGTTATGTTTTTAAAATTCTCAGTAATTGTCAGTTCCCTCCAGTGGATTTTTTTATTACTAAGAGCTTCTAGGATTGGAGCTGCTTTCCATATGTAGTATTTCACTTTGCTTTTTGAAGTTTCAGAATACGGTACAGAACTCCCTTAATCAACTGACAGAATGTAGAATGCTAAATCCTGTTGTTTTTGAAAGAAGATGATTGGGCCTCACTTGATTTTAACAAGCCTTAGAACAAGTGTGAATATACTAACTGAGCAGCATTTCATTAATCATCACAAGTGATAGAAAAAAGTTGTAAACCTAGATCAGTGATTCTCAAACTGTGGTCCACCGACTGCTGGTGGTCAGTGGAACAGTTGATGGTCTATGGAGGGCTTGCTGGTCACATGGTGCTGGCTCCACATCCTTCATTATAGCAGCTTCTACAGACATCCAGGCTCTTCATTGAAATGAAGGAGGAGCGAGGAGAAGGAGCAAACCTAGCAGCCTCCACTAGGGGCTGCTGCTAGCATAAGCGGATGGGGGAAAGGAGCCTGTAGCCGCCAGCAGGAAAAGAGCTGCCTCAACAAGGTACTTCAGCAGAGAATGGGGCAGAAGAGGAGCATGGGGAGATGGGGTAGAGGGTGGAGTTGTGGAGTGGGAGAAAGAAATAATTCATGACTTCGGAGATGTGCTTTAGGAAGTAAACTGATTTGACCTTTAAGTATTAATGTATTTACTAGAAATTAGTTTCTGCAAGGAAAAGGTGGGAATGCAGATGGGATTATGATTGGGTAGGGAGTTGGTCTATAAAGACATTCCTCAGAAATGGGGCCACACTAAATGTTTGAGAACCCCTGACCTAGTTAATCTCTGATTATTTAGCTTTTGCAGCCTTCCTTTTGTGTTTTAGGCATATACACAATAGTTTTTCTGTGTAACCCAACTGATGATTTATTTAGGAAGATCAACTCAGGTAAAGCAACTGATTTGTAAAAAAGACATATAAATAGTCTATATTGATGTCTCTGACTTTCTTTTCTGTTGGTGTTGCTTCTAAGCGATAGTATCCATAGTGTCAGAATACCATTTGTTTCCCATGTGAAAAACACTGCATGTATGTTACACTTTTGGAAACCTATTCCAAAAGAAAATTATACCATTATGTTTCCAAAACTTTGTGAGAATATTCCTACCTAATAAGGAACATTCAGGGTTGTTTTTTTAAACATATTCTGAAATGGTCTTATTCTTCATTTGTGCAAAAACAATTACTGATGGGAAAAAGTACAACCTTTTCAGTTACCAGCCTTCCTTGCCAGATTGAAATTCTTCAGCAAATTATCCAGCAAAGAATACACTAGGAAACAAATATCAAGTAAAATAATGCAAACTCTTCTTCTGACCCCTAAAAGCAAATATTCACATTCACGGTGCCTAGTTAAGAAATCTACAACTTTTCATTTTTCCCCCAAGAGATTATGGTCATTCAGTGGATTAGAATCCATTGTTGACATTATTATTTCTGCTTTTTAAAATGTTGTTAGCTATAAAAATTGACAATAAATACAATATGTTTGGTTTTGTAGGCAACAAGAATGGGTGAATCAACAAAGGGAAGATATCGAAAGGCAAAGAAAGCTCCTAGCCAAACGAAAACCTCCTTCTACAAATAATTCTCAAGCACCATCTGCCAATTCGGAACCGAAACAGAGGAAAAATAAAGCTGTAAATGGGGCAGAAAATGATCCCTTTCTTAGACCCAGTTTACCACAGCTGTAAGTTTACCAATTCAATCAATCTTTTTCATAATTTCCTAGATGATGTCTGTTTTGTTTGCAGGGCAAGTAATGACATAACTCCAGCAGTTGCACCGTATGCCAGCAAGTTAAGGACTTACTCTGTTCTCACTGATGGCTTGACTAAATTGAGGAAACTTGCACCAACATGTAGGAGCCGAAATGTATCCTTGCAATTTATCTTACATAAATTGCATCAATCACTTTTGCCCTGATGCAGTGTGTGTCTCCCCAATTTTAGTGTATTCTACAATTGTAACTCCATGGATTTTCATGGTGCTAGCCTTATTCTCCTTTCAGTTAAACTGATACAAAGAAGGCTTTTGGTGAACAATTCAGGTTCCACCGAAGATGATGATAGTCTTTCAATTGGCTTTTAAAGAATTTGGCTACAGCTGCTTGGTTCTTGAAGGCATGAATCTAAACTCATAATGCACTAAAATAAAGGATGTGAAAATGTAACCATGTACATGGTTAATCAATGAGTCTGAGCTCAGTTAATGTGCACATTTACACGCAGACACCCACCCCCATTCAGAGGCAATAGCACAAGGGGGCAGGCGGGATCTGGTATGCGCGGGGAAACAGCTGCCTCACAGTCACCTGTTTGCTTTGCATTGTTCAATTTGTTTGCTTTGCATTTGATAGCATTTAATTTATATTTATATAGTATTATCACTATGAATCAATTTCTCCTCTTGTTTGTTTTCCACACAATAACAGCAGGGAAGCACATTTTAAAATATATGATGATGTGGTTATTAAACTACAAAAAATTGGCCAGTGCACCAAGAACAGTACTTCAAAGTTATTTTAAACTACTATTTTGAAATTGGTTAGATTCCAAATTGTGGTCCTCAACATCAGAAAAGTCATTATATTCAATATGTACAATATGACGAATGCTAAGCTTTTCTGATTATCAAATCCAATATCCCCTTCACATCTATATCTTGTTTTTGGCACATTTTTCTACATGGTGAGAAAGGAATTGAGACTAAAAAGGAACAACAGGATTTAGAACTGTCATTATGCCTTTAATGCTGATTGTGGTTTGTTTTTTATACTTTCACAGACACATCACTTTTCTGTAGGAAGGCTATTCAGAGGAGCTAAGTTAGGCATGGTTTGCTCTGTAGCTCTATTCTGAATTTTATAGAATTTTATAGAATATCTGTTTTCAGGGGAACTGGCTATTTATTTCTTGAGTAGTTTTGCAACCCCTAACTCTTTGTTCCACGTATGAAAAAGAATAAATACATTGGGATTCTATAAATCTTGTCTGATGTTTGTAGAGACTTTAGTATTCTTACTGTTTTCTAGATCTGCAGAATAGCTCTGTAGTCACTTTTAATTTTTTTTTACCATAAAAACAAAGCTTGTGAAAATTTAAAATTTCTGTATATATTCAAATCCAAGCAATTGTTACTAATACTTTTAACCATTAATATCCCTGACTAGTGTATTTAACTAAGTCTTTTTTGTCTATATTAATTATACATTTTCTGAGATTTACTGCTGCTTTAGTTGATGACAAATTTTACTTCAGTTACATGTTTCACAAGAGGCATTCCATAGTTAATTGTACCATGAATCTCTCTTGTTCACTTTGCTTCCGATTTACAAATAGCTACTCCTGTCCTTCCTTCAAAATATTATTTAATTAATTAAATTTAAAATTTTCAAATTCATGTTTTAAATTAAGTTACTACATTATTATATGTAAATTCAATACAGTTTGAACGTTGAGGACTTCTTTTGACAACTGCAAATTCATTAAGTTAATTGCAATGTTTTATATATGTTAGTAATAGGATGGTTGTTTACACTTGTTAATAATTAATTACTCAAAACTAAGTATGCATTTGTGTACATTAATTTGGTCCTGATATAACGGCTGTTCTGTGCATAACATTGCCTACCTATTTCATCTTTGTTAAACAATTGTGTGTTATTTGCTGAGGTCCATTATGTGACCTGGGATCACCAGAACACAAGGCCCTCTCGTGTTCCATTGCCAGGAGCTCTAAAGAGGGTTTTATTTTTTTAATTAGTATTTGTTGTAGTCTTACTTGTTAGTGTGATCCTCTTCTCCTCTGAAAGATACCTACAGTAAAACTGCTGGTCCCCATTACAGAGTTAGGCAGATAACACGTGTTTATTAGTGGTAAAAACAATTGTGCTTTTCCAGTCTAGTATTCAGTATTCATTTACTCTTTGTAATCTACCATTACTGCATTCACATTGTGTTAATCACTGTACCCATGTTACTTTGAGAATAACAGTTCTAATTATTCTATAGCCAAAGGGAAGTGGTTTTATTTATACCTAACTAGAGGGAAGTATAGAATGGCTGAGATTAATGTAATGAAACGGAGGTACATCACTACAACATACACATGTTTATTATTAAGAAGACCTTTACATTGGTGTACTGAAAAAAAAGATCTAGTAACAAAGCTTGTGAGCAGGGAGTCCCTCTGTCTGGATTTAACAATGGTTTTATTTTTTGGTATAGACAAGAAAAAATGTTTAGCTCAGTTACAAAAATGTGTGATTGAAACTAGTGCTGAAAAAAGCTTTTTTTATATGAACAGTTTATAAAAACAGTTTTCAAAGCCACTAGGTGATGACTGAGGCATTTTCAAAGACAGGTCATGTTCCTGATGTAGTAGGATGATTAAAGAAATAACAACTTGCTGTGTTTGTCTCATGTGAATTTGAAAATGAATCAAAGTATTTATACTAATCTCATCAAGATGGTATCTGACCACCACAGGACAACCTCAGCACTTGTGTTTAGATGGAGTTGAGCAAATTAGCAGGGCTGTCTAGACACTATTCTTGTGCTCTATCAGTGTTCTAATTTTTGGTGTCCCAGAGATTAATGGTTCCATTTGAGATTTCTTTATTGTTGAAAAAACAATTTTTATAAGAATCTTGTTTAATTAAAATCAGTTGAAATGTAACTCAATGACTGTTAACTTGAAGTGCACAGATAAACTCAACTCTTTAAAAAAAAATCTATCCCAAATGTAATTCTTATATCCCAAATTTAATTTCTCTACTTCAGGCAGCCAATTAAGTGTTTAATGTCAGCCCCCACTGTTTGAATTTATGGAAGCAGCCATTATGTTCTTGGAGTGACTAATAAGTTATTGCATTTTTAGAAAGAACAATTTTGGTTTCCATAGTGACTTCCTCCCTTCATTCTTCAGCTTTAGCCATTTTGATCCTGGTGTCTTCCTAGCCATCACTTCCTCTGTTCTATTTATTCAGTGGCAGTGTCTCATGCAAATACTTCTGGTCCCTGTGTCTAATTTAATATATCGTGGAAGGGGATACTCAGCTATCAGTTATGCTAATTTATGCAATTTAGAGGGAACATAATGTTTAGCATGAAGGAAGTAGAAAAGGTTTTCAGCAATTTTTTCATAATTACTTGTTTAAACAGCAACAATGTGACTGGGTCTTTACAGGACAAATAAAGACAGCCTTTGTCCCAAGCAACTTCATCTGTAACAGGAGCAGGCAAAATATGGCCTACGGGCCACACCTGGCCTGCCAGATCCAGCCCAGCAGGAACCTCGAGTGGGCTCTCAAAGCAGCCAGCTGCAAGGGCCAAGCATATTCTGTATGCTGCCTATCCCTTGGGGGGCTTTCTGAACTACGCCACCCCAGTACAATCTCGCAGCTCCCATTGGCTGAAAACCAGCCAGTGGGACTTGTCTAGGCTGTGTTCTGAGTGGCGTGCCGCAGGCAGAGGGCTACTGGCCAGGATTTGCTTCAGATAAGTGCCTCCCAGCCACAGTCTACACCTGGTACCCCCACCCCCCACGCCTGCACCCCAACTCCCTACCTTAGGTTACAAATCAAACTGCACCCCTGTTCCAGGTCACAATCCTCTCCTAGGTGTTGTATCCCCTCCTCTATCCTGCTTCCGAGTCAGAACCCTACCCCCATACTGCCTCCCAAACTCTGCATCCACCCCCATGCTTTAATTCTTTGCTCCAGGGCCCAACCTCCTCCTTGACCCAACTCCCTCTCAGACCCCAAGTCCACTCTTCACCCCAATCCCCTGCCTCAAGCTCCCTTCTGCACCCAACCTTGATCCCAGACACTGCACTTCCTCCATTAATTTCATAGAAGAGTGCAGCCCTTGACAGCTTACCAAATTCTTGGAGTGGCCCCCAGGCAAAACTTATTGCCCACCTCTGATCTACAAGATAAGGCCCAAAGAAGATGTTGAATTAGAGCATTATATCTGAGATTTTTGCAAGTGCTCAGCATTGGCATAACCCTGTAAAAACTTCCCGTAGAGTTGGCCAGCTCTGGAGCACTTCTGAAATCTCCATCCTAAAAATATTTTCGTCTCATTTTGTTATCCTTTGGATCAAGCTTTCAGGTTTGACACATTGAATGAGAACTGAGAGGTAGTTTTAACTTCTTTTTTTTTTTTTTTTTTTTTTTTTAGAATGTTTCCTTGCAGTTCTGGGTGGAATTACAACATACTGTGTAATTGAGGTTGTTCAACTTGAATTCATTATGCAGTTCCACTCCATACTGCTTCCTAACTACCTTCCCTAATTTCTATGATTGGAGACAATGACCTGGCAATCCAGAGTCTTAAGCTATATTCTTTTAAACTGTCTATGGATTCCTTTGTGGTTGTGCACTTAGTGACGTATTTTGAGATGCACATCACCGAGGCAATTCCTAACATCTGGAGTTGGAAGATAGTCAAGGAGATCTTGTACTAAGTGATCTGTTGAAAGGGAAGTGGTCATAGCCCTAAGGTCCCTCTAAGCTGCGCAGTTGCTTCTTAAGCCCTGCACAGGGGCTCAAGGCTGTGGTGTGTAGAGATGCCTCTTCCCAAGCCCCAGATGTGCCTCTTCCTGCTGGTTACAGCATGGACTTGCACAGCTAGGGGAGAGGTGACTCTCACCTGGCCCCCAACTGCTGCAGTGGGTAGACCTTTCTCATTAGAGCAGCCTGCACCCCTTATCTCTAGCCGGAGCCCTCCCCTTCACCACAACCCTTTGCCCCACCCAGGAGTCTCCCGCACCCCAAACTTCTCATCTCTAGCCCCAGCTGAAGCCCGTACTCTAACCTTTTGCCCCAGCCTGGAACCCCCTCCCACACTCTAAACCCCTCATCCCTGGCCTCACCCCAGAGCCCACACCTCCAGCTTGGGCCCTCACCCCCCCATACCCCTTCCCACTCTCTGAACTCTCCAGCCCCACCCCTGCTACACACAGTCCATGTACTAAATGAATTTTGTTATGTGCTCCAATGTGAACGTGATAAGTCACACATCACCTCCATACTGGTGCAGATAATACAGTTCATTCTGCACCTGGCCATAAAATTAGAGGGAAAAGTGGTTCCTAGCACAGACAGTGTTTCAGAATACCAGATCGGTTTCTACAAATAATGGGGTTTGGCTCTGGAATGACAGACTATTTTAAAAAAGGCACAATTTAAAATGCAGTCTTGTTGGTAGTTATAAATGGTAAAGAATGCTATTTACTGTTGTTTGACAGGCACATAAAAATATGAATATTTCTGAATCTTTTATAGGCTAGTAAAATCTATAACTATATGTTATTTTTGCAGGTTGACTCTAGCAGAATACCATGAACAGGAAGAAATTTTTAAACTTAGACTAGGACATCTTAAAAAGGTATGTATAGTCATTTGCTCTGGGATTTTTTTTCTGCCATGCATCACAAAGTGCAAAAACTAATATGGATACAGTATTAAAAGAGCTTGTTACAAAAATAGCTTGTTAGAAAAATTGATTATTCACTATAACGTCATTAGTTTCTTGTAATGTGGCATATTCTGGGTGTTCCAAAGAGACCATGTATTTAGGTTCATGAAGTATTGAGTCCCTTGTATCAGTTTGCACTAACCTCTTGGACCAGTGTTGGTTTTCTGGTCACTGAGTGAAGGAAGGTCAACACAATGGATATATCTTAACAAACGAAACTGGTACAGACAGGATGACTTTTCATTAATGGTATTTGCTGTATACAGATTTTACTGTCTGTGTGGTCATACATTAAATATGAAATGTTAGTATATAAAATAATATAGTTACCTTTCTGTTGGCCCCACAGATGAGGTCACTGGGAGCTGAGTACTCCACATCCTGCAGTGTCCCTTCCACTAAATCACACATCTGATCTCTGCTTTAGAACATAGTACTGCAGTTCTTAGCTTTGATGCAAGATGCAATGAATAAGGCTATGATTCCATCATGGGTATTTTTAGAAGTTAGGGACAGGTCACAGGCAAAATACTTTGGTGGTGGGGGGGAGGGATAGAAGGGACAAACAGAGCACTGCCGGGGCTTGTAGCTGCTTTATCCTCCTGCAGTAGCTCCAGACCCCAAGGGTCTGATTCAATCCCAGCCATTGCCCCAGAGGCCTGGGAGACTGTTGTTGATCAGCTGTCCCCTCCCTGTCCTTCTCGTCTCCTCCCTTTCCCCCAATCAGCTGTTCTGGCAGCCACTGCTCTGGCCACCCCAGAGCTGACCGAAAAAGTCCCGGAGGTCCTGTAAAGTCATGGTATCTGTGACAGAATGGTAGCCTTAGTAATGAATGTTATACACATACTATAGTTAGAGTGGTTACCTTGGAAAAATTAGGATGGAAATAGCAAGACTGTTGTTAACCAAGCAGTGCGCTATTTATGCAAATAAAACTTGTTGTCTCTTCCCTCTAGCTGTGGCTGTCTTCATTTCCAGAACTGCCACGTTTCAGCCTGAAGGGAGATTAAGAATTTCTCTTTTGTTTAAAAATGTTTAGACCCATATTATGCTAACTGATTGGGTGTTACAGAGCTTTGTGCTCTCTGGCATCAGACCTCTGAATATTACAGTCTGTCAGGTTTGAATGTGTACAGAGAAAACAATGCTATGGGGGAAAATATGATGTGCTGGCAATAAGCAGTACATAATTCCAGGTATGCCGATACACTTTTTTCTTGTTATATTGTTCTTCTATTAAAATATTTTTTTAAATTCAGCCATTCCTTTAACAATCTCTTAAAAAGCAAAAATGAAAATTCTCTTAAAGTTCAAATATCTTTTCTGGATATCATCAATGAACAAGCTGACAGGGGTGTTCAGCACAGAAATATGTTTTACAAGCCCTTTTTTTAATTGTATTTATCATTTGAAGATGGAAATTAGTCACAATATGACAGATATAAAATTGAATATCTGTGAATTGTCATGATACCTTTTGACTCAGTAAAGATCTGAGAATGCATCATTCTGTAACATTATAAATACCATGCATAGATTAGATTTCAGTGACAGTGTTGGTATTTGTCACATTCTGGGATACTTAAGTGATTCAGGAAATGCCAAGAAGGTGTCACAAATGTAGGAAAGGGGAGTTTTAAAATGTTAAAATACTTATCCCCACTGAAATCCCTTCCAAATTTGATTAGTGGAGGCATTCAACACAAAAAATCAGCTCAGTTAATAT